CGGTGTCATTGATTCTCATGTTATTCAAATGGCTAAACCTCCTTTGATCCTCCAATATTTCTTGGGCCGCCAGGGCCCTCCTCCAGGCCGTTGCCCCTGCGAATGTTGTCCCTCCATCGCCAGTGCTGCCTCATGAAGGAAGTACTCTGGTCACCATGTATCAGGATGTCGGCTGCGTGCTGTGATCAATGTCAGTCGGTACGCCAAGAAAAGTCGAAGCTTTTGCTACCCACCTCGCCAAGCACGGGAAGAAACTTGGCACCGTGTCCACTGCCTCCAGTGGCGACGAAGACAGACCCTTCAGAGTAAGTAGGCACATGGTCGATCTGAAAAGATCAGTCAGCGAAGGAGATTGATCCAAGGCAGAGCTGACTCACAACAAAAGAGTTGTCCAGTGAGTCGGTATACCAGCATAGCTTAGTCGAATTGAAGTCCTTGTCGGCGAACTCCGGAAGAAAGATGGAGACGAACTTTCGAATGGCCTCTCTTGCAGGATCTGGGACTATGCCGCAGTCAGCAGGCGGGAGAGGCACACTCCACTGGCCGTCTTGAGTGAAGCCCGCTTCCGAAGGAGCATGTTGAAAGTTGGTAAACTGGGGGTTGGTTGTCTTGTTAGCCCGATTCGCGCGAAAACAGCGACGCACAAGTACCTTGATGCCTCGGAATCCGATTTTAATGAGACCATCGGCAGTCCGAGGAAAGACGTAAACACTGCCGGTGTCTTTGCCGCTCGGGTTGCGTGGCGCACTCCTCCAAGTGATGACGGGGAAGCGTTCAGGGGAGTATTTGTCCCACAAATCCGCGTCGTTCTTGTCCACCTTGAAGGTGACTACGCTTCCTGCAGACGACTCAAGATGGTAGGACAAATCAGGCAATAGCTGCGTCGAGAAAGATCCAGCTGCTGATCATTAGTCGCGCAACTACGGAGATAAATGCAGAAAATAGCAAGCATACCGCAAATGGCCACGACATCCGCCTTGTGAGTGACTCCGTCTTTGGTCCTGACCCCGACTGCTTTCTTTAGGTGTGATGATGAGCCAACTCCTTCAATGATGCTGTCGAAGGCACCCTTCTCGGGGCCAAAGTGAAACTCGACGCCCTGTCGGAGGGCCAACTTGTAGAAATAGGCACAGGCTTCGCTGCATTTTGTGAAACCGGCGGTTGAGTCCAAAACGGCTTCATAAGTTTGAGGCGAGGCTTGTGGAATTTCGAAATCTAGGAGCTTCCCTTCCCATCCACGCTCAGCTGCTCGAGCTCTATCGGTCGGATCGCTCTTGACGAATTGAGTATCTCTGAGGCCGTCTCGTTCAAAGTTGCTCAGTGTCTCACGCTCAAGTGGATCGAGTCCGGCGGTGGGCTGAACTCGAAGCATGCCGCTCCCGCTGAAGAGATCAGATGGGTCGAGCCCGTCATCCTCTTGGCGCCTCTTCTCGTTGATTTTCTCCCACGCGGCACGACTTTCGAATGCGAGACGCTGGTAATGAAGCTTACTCCCGTATGAAGCTCGAAACTAGAGACATTGAATGAGTACAGCTTGATGCGTGCTCTCAATGCCCGCAAACTTACGATCTTGTTATGATCGACCGAGGCCGCCTGAGTGTTCCCATTCAAGTCGGGCTCGTAGTGCGTCTCATCGTAACGGTATCTGTCGAACACAGCCACGCGATACTCTGAGAAATGAGGATCAGTTCGAATACCTACCACATCCAGGTATGGCAGTGAGGTACGCTTACCACGTTTGCTCAAAGCAACGGCTAAAGAGAGGCCGAAAATGCCAGCTGATAGAAATCAATCAATTGTTTGCAACATTTCACTGTAAGTTCTGCACGTACCGCCCACGATAGCGACCGACTTTGGTTCAGACATGATGCTCTGCTTCTCGCTTGCTTTCCTTGTCAACTCAGATGATGCGGAGCGCCGCTACACTGCGAGAGGCGGGGAGCGATACACTTTAATGCTTCCGAAGTCGCTGATCCATGCCTATCAAGGTGCGGAGATAGTCGGTTGGAGCTGGCACGCCATTAAGAATCGGATGACTTGCCGCACAACGTATGAATAGCTCCACAGCTCTCCCCGCGGCCAAGATAGCAGTTTAGAAGATGTAATCACAACAGCAAACACTGTTCTCTTCAGAAGTTTGACCAGACTTATTTGAGATCATAAATCTTTCTAAGTTGTAAATTTTGCGAAGCATGCAAGCACTCAAAACCCGTTTGCAATTCTAATAGGCCCATGATAGACCAATCGTTTCAGGAGAAATAACTGAACTACTTAAATTATTAAAATGACGGCTCCCACTCGGAGTGGTCAGTATTAAATAATCCTTCCTATGTCGCAAAGCACACCGTATGCAATTCTCAAGAAAAATGAGCCTCATTTGCCTCCCTTGACTCATCTATCCATCCACTTTGCATTGAGTTCTTTTGCATCATTGACCAACTCTACCTCCAATAGAAGCTGTAACGAACCAAAAGATAGCTCGTAAGTCGGATGGACATCGTCATCACGGAACCTGTTGCGTGAAAGACTCAGTTCGATAACGAGGAGATTTGTCCACTGAGGGAAAAGGAACGTTGATCCGGTCAAAACATAAAGAGGACGCATCACGCCTGGAGTCGTCACCTATTTACAGGTCACAACCGGGGAGGCGTTTCACCATCACGCTTGTTCAGTAGCCTCGCAATCATCCTTGAAGCATTGATGACCTTGATAGCTTCTCCTGAAAAAGAACTAAATAATTGCTAGTTGGTCTTAGGCTGGATCAAGTGAGTTCGTTCACTTGGCTAACCTGCAGCCTACATTAGCAGAGTCGACCGTGGTGCAGCCCAAACCCTGGCGTAGGATCTCTCTTGCCCGGAAGCTCTTGACAATGCAAAAATTGGTGAGCAATAACCTGGAATTGTGACAGTAATGTATACTTCTGGCAACGTGGCCACGTTCTGTTCTTTGCAGCCTATTTAAATCTGCTCATGGGAGCCCACGATCCTGCTTATTGAAGGAAGCGGGGCATAAGTTGCATGGTTGCAACATAAGGTACCCTGAGCTAATGCGAGTTGCCCTTGCTCCTCGCTCATCTTTACATCTATCAATATACCACCTGACATTGGCCATCAAGGTTGCACAATGAATGTGATCGGTGTTAACCCGAAGAGCCTCGTAAATACGCGTCGGCGAACATGGACCAATCAATTGCCTCACATAAACCCTGCGCCAAGTCAGCGTTGGGCGCTCGGCGATGCATCCTCATCAGACACCTACAAGTTGTATCTCAGTGATGACTGTGGCTCCCGATATCTTTGTGCCGGTCGAAGAGATGGAACATCAATCATCCCTCACGAAGAAAATACTTCCTCATCGCAGTCGATTTTATGGCTGCAAAAGTCGCGGTGGCGAACTTTTCTCGCTGGCGCAAGACTTGGTCAAGGCTGGTATTGTGAACAATAACCAAGTCGGCAAGAGCAGCGTTGATGGAGGAAGATCTTTTCCATAGTTCGACACTATATACTATGATCATTCTTGGACGAACTTAGCAAGGATGCTCATTTGCTCATTTTCAGTTGATATAACAACCTCCAGTGAGAAGTAGATATTCCCCATTAATCCATCGAGATCTTTCCTCGGCAAGAAACGCAACAGTCCATGCGACATCTTCAACATCACCGAAACCACCTTCAACAGGGGTTCTCAGATCCATTTCCTGCCTGACTGTATCGAAGTGAGAGCTGATATTCTTGAAGAACGTCTCTGTGCTGATTGGCCCTGGCGCAACCGCATTTACGGTGCACCCGTACACAGGAGGCAACTCTTTCGCCCATACCCTGATCATTGCGTCCAGTGTTCCTTTGCTCGCTGCGTATATGCTCTGATTCACCTCGGGCATCCGAGAAGCGACAGAAGATACAATGATGATTCGGGATCCGCCTCGTTTAGAAGAATCGACTATTGTTGCTGATGTCGGCTTTGCGAGAGGCTCAAACGGCGTCAAATGCGGCAGCGCGGCTTTGACAAGGAGGAACGCGTCTCTGGAGTTGAGATTGAGCGCCTGATCCCATGTGTCGGCATCTGCCTCTCCGAGAGGCCCGAGAGGTACCACACCGGCATTGCTGACGAGAATATCGACTTGCTTGAAGCGAGCCACGGCGGCGGAGACCAGGGCCGCAGGGCCCGAGACAGTTGACATGTCGGCGCATACAGCTATCCAGGGCGTTTGCAACTTGGCCCCAACCTGCTCACATTCGGCCTGCAAGTGTGGAAAGGGGTAATTCAACACTATGTTTGCTCCACGCATCGAAAGTTCCTCGGCAATGGCGGCGCCGATCCCAGCCGAAGAGCCTGATATGACGGCAGTCTTTTCTTTCATTGGTACCGTTTGCGACTGTTTGAGGTGCGGCATGATGATTGCCTGACAAGGTTGTGCTCAGAACTATGGACTGAGTGCGAATATCTTCTACCCTCGACAAAATCACGGTATTAGTAGACGTCTCGAACTTGACATTCACGGCGGGAAATTGTTTCCGCAAGTTCCGAGTAGTTGAGCAGTATTGCACCTACATTCGGGCTTCTCGTGCAAAATTCCTCTTAACAGCAGAAGAGCGTCTTTATTCGGAGTTTGAAATCCCGAGCCGGGATGCGACGGACTGGCTCTAGATCTCGGGTGTCCGCACATCGGTCTTACGTCAAGACCAGAAGAGGTCACCAACAAGTGTTGTAGATAAGCCATTGCACCGGGGGATGATTTCTCAGCAGACAATACGTCACTTCGCCGTCGTATGAGTCACGCGGCATGACAATCACTACACGATCTCGGACATGTGAGCGATAGTTTCATCTTACTTATGGGTCGAGTGATGTTAACTAGTCTAAGGTATTTCACATAGCTCAACAATGTGAAGTAAAAGTTGGTTCATGGTTTCTTATCCAAACTTCAATTGCGTATCCCCGCCTCAACTGATTGACTTCTCAAAGTGTAAAGTCTTTAACAATGATAGACTAGGTACTCCTCAATCAATGGTTTGCTCATAGGTATTGATGCTTTGCTGTATGTCTTCTTTCAGATCTTCAATATGCTCTAAACCCACTGAGATGCGGATCATGTCTTCAGTAACCCCCAGGTCAATCTTCTCCTTCGGATACATTGGCTTGTGTGTAGATGACCAAGGATGCGTTGCCGCACTCTTAGCATCACCGAATCTATGTCATATGGTGATTAGTGATTTACAATCCACCTAAGAACATGAATATTGGAGATTCCAACATGAATCCTTTTGAACGAGGGGAAGGAACTCACGAGGCCATGTGCGTGATGAGTTTAAAGCCATCCACAAGTGATTCTCCAGCCACGGCGCCACCCTTGAAACCAAACAAGATGACCGCTCCGGCACCCCTCGGGAAATATTTGGTAGCGGCAGCATGTTCCGAGTGGTCTTTCAATCCAGGGTAGTCAACCCACGAAATCTTCGGATGGTCACGCAGCCAAACGGCAAGTTCTGTGGCGTTTCGCGTGTGTCTCTCGCATCGCAAGCTCAGCGTCTCAAGCCCGATGAGGAGGTCTCTGCTATTGTAAGGCGACAGACAAGCCCCAGAGTCGCGGAGAATTTGGTGCCTGAAGCGACTCACGAAGGCGAGCTGGCCAAAAGACTCGTGAAGGTTGGTATTGTGGAAGCCTGGGTTGGGCTGGTTGAGCCTGGCAAACCTCGGGCTACGCCAGTCGAATCTTCCTGAGTCGATAACGACACCGCCGACGGAGGTTCCATGACTGCAAATCCATTTACTGGCACTATGGGTCACGATATCTGCACCGTGTAAGATTGGCTGGCACCAGTAGCCTCCAGCACCAGCAGTATTGTCTACGACCAGGGGGACACCATGTCGGTGTGCAATCTGAGCAATTGCCTCGATATCGGGCACGTTCATACGTGGATGGCCCATGCTCTCGATGTAGATAGCCCTCGTGGTCTCATCTATTGCCGCCTCGATAGACTGTAGGGTCTCTGGCACGATTGCGACAGAAATACCAAGGTCTGGCAACAGGAAACTGAATTGATTATATGCCCCATGATACATGTTGGCTGTTGATATGATGCTTTCGCCTCGCCCAGCAAGACAAAGCATGGTCATAAAGACAGCTGACTGCCCGGAAGCAACCGCAACAGCTGCGAGCCCGCCCTCAAGCGCTGCCATCCGCTTTTCCAGCACATCAGTGGTTGGGTTCATTGTTCGGGTGCCGATGTTTCCGTCTTCTTCTAGACCGTAACATCTTGCAGCATGTGCTGAGTCGTCGAAGTTGAAGTACGCTGTTTGGTAGATGGGTACGGCTCTCGACTTACTGACCGGATCAGTCTTTTGGCCCGCGTGTATTTGCAGAGTTTCGAATCTAGAAGCCGTCTTGAAAGCCGGCGACGAAGACATTGTGTTGCAGTGAAGAATTTCGTTCTATTTGATTGTTGGATTTCGTACGACAAAAACTGGAAACACATTTTGATTTCTATGAACGTTCCGGCGAGGCTTTCGGCGGTTCGGACAGCGAATCCGGGGCGGGATGAGATGTAATAAATCGACTCGGAGCTACGGGGGTTTGGGAGCGACAATGTGCTCGACTCATACTCTCGGATTTACGGTCGCGTTAAGTCAGTAAAATAATTATTGTACATGTTCACAAGTTTTTACCAGCGTGTGATGATGTTAAATCGTCTCTCTAGCCGCCGTTGAATGCCACGTTCAAACATATTGCCTCATCCACTTTGTCATTTGTCTCATTTAGACTTCCCCAAATTTGTAACTTAGCTCTAGATTCAACTTCTGACGTAATAGCATCATCGTGATGGCACCCCTTGAGGTCATAGTTGTTGGTGCAGGCTTTGGGGGTCTTTCTGCGGCAATCGAGTGTCGTCTTCGTGGCATGAAAGTTACTCTTATTGAGCGCTACGTCGACTCAAACACTCGGGGAGGTGAGTTTAATTTTCCAAACTTGACACCGATGCATCCTAGCTCTACATCGAAGGAATAGTCTAACTAGTGTCAGATATCATCGACTTCTTTGTCAACGGTGGCCTTGTCATCTCCAGATGGGATGATGGTAAAGTGGGCCAAGAGATTTTGTCCATTGGGTGTGAGTCTGATGTGCTCGAGATGTACAAGTATGACGGCAAGCTCCTCTACCCTGTACCATGGTTCATGAAAGATGAGGATCGAACAAGAACCTTTGCAGCTCACCGGGGCAAGCAACATGGGATTTTCATGGCGTATGCTCTCCGTCTTGGAGTACAAATTGAGTTGGGTCGGTCGATTAAGTCAAACCCCCCACTTCCTGGCACCCCCCTGTTTCTGGCACCCACAAAAACGATGGGATCACAACCCAACCTCCTCATTACTATTAACTATTGATCCTCAACCACACCCACTACAATACAACTGCCAGCCTCACTAGGGCATTCAGAGTCGCTGGATTCAGCCGTAATAACCTCCTTTTCACCCGCTTCGATTTGAGCCCGATGGATATCCCTGATGTTCGCAAACTTCGTGTTGGGATCGATCTGAACAGTCTTCCTCTTCCTAACTGCAGCGTTGGTAACTTGGCCCTCAGGTGAGCCAGCTGCTGCTGGGCGCTGCCAGTTGCCAGGCCTGCTCTGTGAAGCCTTTTTTCACCTTCCTGAACAGCAGCCGTTGAGTGCTGGTATCATTGTCGAGTTGGGTGTATAAGTGCAGTTGACCGCTGAGCTCTGCCAGCTTCCTGGGTGTCGACCAGACCACTGCAGAGGAAGCAGAATCCCATGGCTCAACAGGGGTAGTTTGTTGACCATTATGGCATCGCTTTTTGCCCCGACTGGTTGGTTTGGGTGTGGTGGGCAGCAGAAGGCTCAGGTAATACCATAGGGTTCATCAGGGGCTTAACCATCGCTACAGGGTGTAGACCAGTCCACTTCCAACCACTTCTGATGTTCGAGACTGATAGACCAGCAAGTCGAGCCTTCTGGTAACAGTCCAGGAAGTTCCTTTTACCTATAATGGTAGAGTCGTTCCATTGAGACAAGTAACCGAGCTCCTTCCGATAGGCTGACTTAACAGGGCTGAAGACAGACTGGTCAAGTGGCTGGAGGACATGAGAGGAGTGTGGTGGTAAGAACAGTAAATGGATATTGTTAATATAGCAATTCCACATGAAGTCTGTCGTCGTATGACTCCCATGCCCATCCACAATCAACAGTCGAGCCTCGCCCTCAGCCTCGGGCATAGTCTGTGGGATAAACACCTTCTCTAACCATTCAATGGCAGTTAAGTCTGTAGTCCAGCCATTATCTGTTGCTGTAAACTCCCACCCATCGTATGGAACCAGATGTAATGGAAACCACTGTTGTTGGACCGTCTTCCCTTGAAAATGATAAGAGGACGAAGTGCCCTACCCAAGGCTGAGATACACTCAATGATAGAGACCCATGCCCTCGACCCAGGTTGTTTCTTGCGAACAGACGTCGTCTCAGCCATGCCCAGCACTAACCCATTAGCTCCTGACCCTCGAGGATGCCAGTCTCATCCATATTATATCTGTTGGCTGGTTTGATGTCCTTGATCTCAGGGATAGCAAGGACAAACCAGTTCCTAATGACCTCAGTAGATGCCCCATTAACGCGTCTAGAATCGATGGAACGACTTCTCTGAACCTTAATGATAGGGTTCCTTCTCACGAAGGCATAGATCCAGCCTTTCCTAATGGTTTGGTATCCCCAGCAGCAGCCAGAACTCGCTCTGCGAATTCCTTCACCTGTTGGTGCGTTGGTGCGAGGCCCAGCGAAGCCTGAATGCGAACCCATTGTGCCAGCTTACTCTCCTGGTCAGGAGACAGCCTCTGCCAGTCAGCAAAGCCACTTTCCTAGTCTGACCACCTTGGAGACGTAGTTGGAGGGTTGATCGTGGTATCCCATACTCCAATGAGGCTCTCTTTGACTCTTGCCGTTTGAGATGTCCTCGAGAGCCTGACGAAGCTGATCTTCGGTATATTGAGGCATTAGATATAGAAGAAGGTATGTGCAAAAATGAGCCCATTTGGATTTGGACTCGAATTGAAAATGTTGTGATAAAAGGAGGTTGGGGGTGGGCATTGCGTTGTGGTGGATTTTCGCGTTTTTGTGGGTGCCAGAAACAGGGGGGTGCCGGGAAGTGGGGGGTTTGACTTATCGCACGTAGGGTATTCGTTCAATGTCTTCCCATACTGGCAGGCGGTCTCCCACAACATCATCTATCCCATATTGTCAGTCATCTCACAGTAACTTCGAAATTGTAGCAATGCGAGCTTCTCTATTTCCGCGAAGTGCGTACCTATCAGCTTTCGAGCGTGCAGTTGGACGTGAGGATTCATCATCATCTGCTCGAGAAATACCCAGGTGCTCACGCGACTCTACTGATGATTAGAGCGACGTGACGTCCTAGTGACTAAGTCAAATCAACATGCGATAACTTACGGTATCCGATGCAGCTGCGATCAGCTTTAGAGCGACGTAAGCGGCTTCGCTATCGGTTGCGCCAGACTTGTCTGTGCTCGTGAGAACGCGCGTCATAAAGGAATCGGGGGCTGATCCCGAATTGACAAGCTGCCTAGCATACTGAATGATTCATCAGCACCGAAGAATCGAGCACCAAGAATTCAGAACAAGAACTCTAATCTTACGTTCAACCGCTTCTCGACGAATTCAATATCAGAATCGTGTCTCTTGATGCCATTCTTAGCCCAAGGCTTCAAAGCCAATGGCAGGTAATCGAGCGCAGTAAAGATGTCGGCGATGTAGAAGCCAGAAATTGTCGCTTGATGGCACGAATGTCAGCTGTTGCAAAGTAGAGAACAACCGGGGCGAGCCGTACATGTTATCTCATCAATAGCACTTTCTGAAAACATTTGTGGTTAGCTTTTGTCCACATTCCAGCGGATGTAGATGTGGATCGGGCATTAACCTACCAAAGATGTACTTGTTTGCTGGGCTATCCGAGATTGTTATCTGCAAGTATGAAGATTCGGCATTAGTTGGAGTTACCCATCATGCTGTTCTTTTGAATTATTACCTCAAGGCCGTAAAGCTGAGATGTGAAAGTGCTATAGACGTAACGCCCGATGCTATCCCATAGATTTGTTTGTTTCTCTGTGCCTGCGTTCGCGTCTTGCGAGACTTGATACAAGAATTTCAGCGTTTCGTGATACAGGAATGGCAACCCGTCTTCAGCTCGCTGTGGGCTGGTTAGATTCTGAAGCGCTATCTTTCGTTGCAACTGTGATTTGGTGCCTGTTAGCAAATTATGGCCATGCCATCAGCACCAGAGTAAAGATGGTGTTACCTTCCATCGGGGATTGCTGGCATCCAAAAGATCCATACTCTCATAGTTGGTGATGTATTTCTGACCAACTAGCCAGGCTGGACGCTCAGACAACACTGCGGCGTTTTTTTGGAAGATTGCAGCGCATGCGCGGTCAGAATTGATAACGTACTCAGTGTTAGGTCCAAGAACGACTCGTATGATCTCGCCGTGCTCTTGAGCCCAGGAAATCATCTTGAGATGCAGCAGACCACCCGCATTAATGACATCAAGGAGGTTTCCCAACAATGGATAACCTTTTGGAGCTGGAGGGAGGTTTTTGTTCATCGAACCTCGCGATGCCCACATGAATAATGCTACTGCAAGAATCCCGAGCAAAACAGGACTTGGAGTTCTCAAGGTAGTTTCTTTAGCTGCAGCTACAGCAACTTGCACGAGTCCCATTTTGACAAATATTCTCGGCTTGATTGCTTGTAAAATTTCTGAAAGTTGCGATGGTGCTTTGTTCGAAAACTAGATTTGATTTGAAGGGGGTGGGCTACTTGGTTGTAGAGAGCAAATTTCACACCACTTGACGCAATAAATCCACCAAATTTCCAGCTACAAACTATCATTCTTTCTCTGTAACTGCTATGAAATTATTGTCCATAACGGTCTGTGAACAAATGCATCCCTGGAATCAAGAGGTCGGAGTCCGAGATCCCGAACTTGAACGCTCGGTCTCGTCGGTGAAAGTAATCCGAGAAGCGTTGGTCTACAGACAGTCGGCGTCAGATCGCCGATCAAAGACGCAAACGAGTCTGGATACCATCGCTTTCCCGATACGCTGCCAAGATTCTGGTGAACATAGGGTGACAAACTGATTGTACATTGTTTTCAGGCTTCTACATTTGGCGAGGTATATGCTACATACCCACAATGCGACTGAGAATTAATACGAGCCTCCATGACTAGGAATTCGAACACCTTGTTATCCAGCCTCTTCCATTCTTGATATAAGTCAAACCCCCCACTTCCCGGCACCCCCCTGTTTCTGGCACCCACAAAAACGCGAAAATCCACCACAACGCAATGCCCACCCCCAACCTCCTTTTATCACAACATTTTCAATTCGAGTCCAAATGGGCTCATTTTTTACATACCTTCTTCTATATCTAATGCCTCAATATACCGAAGATCAGCTTGTCAGGCTCTCGAGGACATCTCAAACGGCAAGAGTCAAAGAGAGCCTCATTGGAGTATGGGATACCACGATCAACCCTCCAACTACGTCTCCAAGGTGGTCAGACTAGGAAAGTGGCTTTGCTGACTGGCAGAGGCTGTCTCCTGACCAGGAGAGTAAGCTGGCACAATGGGTTCGCATTCAGGCTTCGCTGGGCCTCGCACCAACGCACCAACAGGTGAAGGAATTCGCAGAGCGAGTTCTGGCTGCTGCTGGGGATACCAAACCATTAGGAAAAGGCTGGATCTATGCCTTCGTGAGAAGGAACCCTATCATTAAGGTTCAGAGAAGTCGTTCCATCGATTCTAGACGCGTTAATGGGGCATCTACTGAGGTCATTAGGAACTGGTTTAAGTTCCTTGCTATCCCTGAGATCAAGGACATCAAACCAGCCAACAGATATAATATGGATGAGACTGGCATCCTCGAGGGTCAGGAGCTAATGGGTTAGTGCTGGGCATGGCTGAGACGACGTCTGTCGCAAGAAACAACCTGGGTCGAGGGCATGGGTCTCTATCATTGAGTGTATCTCAGCCTTGGGTAGGGCACTTCGTCCTCTTATCATTTTCAAGGGAAGACGGTCCAACAACAGTGGTTTCCATTACATCTGGTTCCATACGATGGGTGGGAGTTTACAGCAACAGATAATGGCTGGACTACAGACTTAACTGCCATTGAATGGTTAGAGAAGGTGTTTATCCCACAGACTATGCCCGAGGCTGAGGGCGAGGCTCGACTGTTGATTGTGGATGGGCATGGGAGTCATACGACGACAGACTTCATGTGGAATTGCTATATTAACAATATCCATTTACTGTTCTTACCACCACACCTCTCATGTCCTCCAGCCACTTGACCAGTCTGTCTTCAGCCCTGTTAAGTCAGCCTATCGGAAGGAGCTCGGTTACTTGTCTCAATGGAACGACTCTACCATTATAGGTAAAAGGAACTTCCTGGACTGTTACCAGAAGGCTCGACTTGCTGGTCTATCAGTCTCGAACATCAGAAGTGGTTGGAAGTGGACTGGTCTACACCCTGTAGCGATGGTTAAGCCCTGATGAACCCTATGGTATTACCTGAGCCTTCTGCTAAGCCCACCACACCCAAACCAACCAGTCGGGGCAAAAGCGATGCCATAATGGTCAACAAACTACCCCTGTTGAGCCATGGGATTCTGCTTCCTCTGCGGTCTGGTCGACACCCAGGAAGCTGGCAGAGCTCAGCGGTCAACTGCACTTATACACCCAACTCGACAATGATACCAGCACTCAACGGCTGCTGTTCAGGAAGGTGAAAAAGGCTTCACAGAGCAGGCCTGGCAACTGGCAGCTGCCCAGCAGCAGCTGGCTCACCTGAGGGCTCAAGTTACCAACGCTTAGGAAGAGGAAGACTGTTCAGATCGATCCCAACACGAAGTTTGCGAACATCAGGGATATCCATCGGGCTCAAATCGAAGCGGGTGAAAAGGAGGTTATTACGGCTGAATCCAGCGACTCTGAATGCCCTAGTGAGGCTGGCAGTTGTATTGTAGTGGGTGTGGTTGAGGATCAATAGTTAATAGTAATGAGGAGGTTGGGTTGTGATCCCATCGTTTTTGTGGGTGCCAGAAACAGGGGGGTGCCAGGAAGTGGGGGGTTTGACTTATTTCGCTATATTTCCCAGCACTAATCGAACTCCAAGTCATATACAGACATCACATGCAAGATATCTAACTGTTTTCCAATCTTCTTTCAGTAAGGTGCAGTCTCGAGCCACAAAGACCATGGATACTCCCTTGTCATACGTTGCAGCTATTCTACCATCAACGTCACCATCTCCGATCGGCTTGTTTTCGAAAGATTCCTGCTATAGCTATGCCCTCGTCACTTCGGCCCTGGCGCTGGGGACAGTTATTGTGTTCCTTACGACGGGAGTTTGGGCATATCGACCCAAAGTTCCATTCGCGCTTGAGGATGAGTTTCCCAGCCGGAACGAGCGAGTTCAGCAATATGTGCGCGACTCTCGAGAGGTTCTCGTTAAGGGATACACAAAGGCAAGTGTTTTTGGAGAAGCGACGACGAGAGTTGTTTCTGACCTCTACTAGTTCAAAGACGAAATCTTCGCTATTGACACACCATTAGGTTGGCTTTCTCCCGCACACATATTTGATGCAGATTTTTTCCCCATCCCGTGCTAAAATACAACTACCTTATCCCACCAGGATTCAACATCGTTTTACCTCTTCGTTTTATGGATGAATTGAAGAGCAATCCCAACCTCAACTTTGGCGCTGCCCTTAATGATGTTGGTGCACACGGCTCATCCTTGTCACATGCACTCTAGCCCATGAAACCTAACAGTAATCAGTTCACTTTTGAGCGATACACCAAAGTTGGCGCCCTACCAGCCTGGTCCATCAAATTATTCTCCGCAAAGTTCAATCCGGCTTTAGGTGCGATTGTTACCCCACGAACGCCAAGTTCATGATCCTAACAACTCCCTACCTCATATCATCAGATTCCTACGCTGAAATTTTCCAGAACCTGGTCAGCGATCATATTGCAGGACTATTGCCTGCAACTAATTATACAAATAACCAAAGCGGTATAGTTCTCCAGAAGTTGTGTTGACGGCATTTTGAGAAAGACATTTATCTTACTCCCTTGACTTAGGCTGGGCATCCATCAACGTGTGGTCGTCCATCATTCCACTCATAACCAAAGCAGATGTCCGAGGCTTTCTTGGTCACGATGCTGCCGAAGATGAAGGCTTTCTCGACGTTGCGAGCACGTTCATCATCAATCAGATCGTCTATGCCGTAGGTGCAAAGCGATGGCCGTCTTTCCTCCATCCAGTTCTGTACAAGTATCTCCCAGGTTTCTCGGGTCTCGTCGAACAGTACAGAAATGGTGAGAAGGTGGTCTTGAGGCAGATGGAGAACAAGAAGTCCAACGGCCTCAAGCCTCTGTCCGACCCGCCCAGCGTTTTTGATTACGTCAACGAGGACGGTCGGTACCTGGACAATTTGCGACTTCAGATGGATATCCAGATGCCTTTATGCGCTGCAAGCATCCACACTACCACAACGACAATCGTGCAATGTTTGTATGACCTAGCCAGTCGCCCGCAGTACCTCCCAGCACTGCGTCAGGAAGCCCAAGAGGTTACTGAACAGCACGGAAATGTACTCAACAGACGAGCGGCTTCGAAATTGGAGAAGATGGACAGCTTTGTCAAGGAAGTACAAAGGTTTTGCTCTCCTGATCTGAGTAAGTCGTGATTTCCCTCATTGCTACATACTCAGACTGGAGAATTGATCTGATAACTGCTCTCATTATAGCCACCTTCCAGCGCAAAGCTACTGCCCCGGTCACACTCTCGAATGGATTTCACATCCCTAAAGGTGCAAGAATCGAAGTTGCCACTGGCGCCATCAACGCGGATGCGGACCTCTACGATAATCCCTCCGAGTTTGATGGTTTGCGATTCTACAAGAAGAGACAAGAATCGGACGAAGCCCGGTCAAAGTTTCAAGTCTTGAGTGTGAGCAAACTGGATCTATCCTGGGGATACGGTCGAGCTGCCTGCCCTGGGAGGTTCCTTGCCGACCTCTTGATCAAGATGGTCCTGGTGGAAGTCTTGAAGCGTTACGACATCAAGATGCCAGAGGGTCAAGGTCGATATGAGAATATGGAGATCCAGGGCCAGGTAGGGAAACACCCAACTCAATTTCCTTGGGAACCAAATATGAACATAGAATCACCAGCTGACGTGTAGTCTCCTTAGACATTGCCCAATGAGCAGGGCATAGTCTTGATCCGACACAGGGCTGGATAATGCGAAGAAAGAACACCGCATTGAAGGTCATGGCCTTGCCGGGGGGGGGTTGACTAATTTGAACCACGAACAATGATAGTCTGTCCATTTTGTTTTTCTCTTTCCCGCATAACAAGTTGATCACTAGTATGTTGATATCCCGAATGATCATTACAAAATCACGAGATGATTAGCAAGTTTGGCAGACATTGCCGCTACAAATTTGGCCTTTCTCCGCACATGATTGATACTAGCAAATCTAGTCAGCTTCACTGAAATGATACGCTGCAGGGCCTGGCCACTCACATAGTTCCAGGTCATTTCATTCCTGCCAGGGAAAGTGTAACACTGCACAATATTGTTCCCAGAGCAGCCAAAGGCGTTTTTCAAATCGCAACCCTTGCCCTGATTGGCACTGATCGGGATGGTGTCGCAAGCGCCAGATCTACACACTTGTCCTTTGTCCGCGCATGAGTCGACCTTGATTGCAGTTAGGTCCGATAATTCTGATGGAACGACGTGTTCGGGACAGAGACTTACATAGTTCCAGGTCAGTCCACTTCTCCCCGGGAACGTGTAGCACTTTACAATGTTGTTCCCCGAACAGTCGACAGCATCTACTGTTCCGCAACCTTTGCCCTGATCAGCAGCAATCGCTGCCGAAGCGAAGAGTGGAAGCAAATAAAAGAAGCGCATTTTGAACGAGTGTAAGAGAACAAATGTCTCAAAAGGAGTAGTCACAGAGAAGTGACAAGCAAGCGGGACTTGAGTTTGGCTTCATCCAGGACATATCAATGTATTTATTTTTCGTCCACTCTTTCAGGAGGACAGCCCGCACACTGCGATGTCTCTGGTCGCAAGGTTTCCTGGACTCGTATAATTAACCTCTTGGTAGATCACCCGGTTATGGGCGTTGCGGAGAGATAGAAAGAGACATTTGGAGAGGTAAGTGACATTGCTAAGGCTGCCCAGGTCTCTTGAGTCGTGGAAATGAAGACCGTCGGTGCACGAAACCGGGCACTTGTAGTAGGCTATGATGGCCTTAGCACGTCTTAGAGGATCGGGCAAACCGACAGCCCACAATGAACCAGTACGATCACTGTACTTGTTCCCCGCCATCCATACATGCGATTTGGCACGGACAGAACCTTACTTGATTGCTCTTTAGGCCTGACTCGGCGCCAGATTCAAGATTAAATTCTGTTCAGTAATTAAAGCAAGTGTTTGAATCGAAATGGTCTTTCTCTTGTAATTCGCGTCCGGCTGAGCACATGATTGAGTCAAATCTGTATTATAGTTTGTTTGACGCAGATTATATCGCTGAATACGAACAGCGCTGTGTATCAGTCTGCACAGGTCTCAATGGCACGACTGTAAAGCCGTGAGCACATTGACAGCGAATTATAATAAGGGCAGCATGCGGTCAGGCAACTCTACACGCCGTTACGAATCCCGACAGCCCAAAGTCCAGTCTCCATCGCACATTCAAATCCGACTATCATGAAGCGCCATACAGATCTCAGCGGCCTCCGAGCTGCAGCTGCAGCATTTCTATTTGTCCAAGGCGCCAACGCTGGGAAGGTTTACTGCGCCGACGTACAAGAGAAAGTAGTAGCTGAAGTCAACTGCGACGGCCAAGCGACTCCCGGAACGTACTACATGTTCAACAGCCAAGAAGACCACGCCATCGGCTCGAAAGTCGACTTAAAGAACGCACAAGTATTCGACAGCACCGAAGCTTTCGAAAAGCGGCACGAATTGTTCCCGGCCGATATCCCCTTACAAGAGTTCGAATCTGACGGCTTTGGGAAACGCGCGTGTCGAGTTGGCGGTGTTGGTGGAGGCTACCGTGGAGGTGTATTCGTGCCCTACTACGGCGGCCGGGTAATTGGCGGTGGGGTTGGTGGTTGATAATCCCAGGCGTTGCTATCTGAGGATTGAGCAAAGAGCAAACGTCGCGAAGCCAGCGAGGCGTGCACACTGTATTTCTAAATTGTATTTCTGGCAGACGCATCGGTCTCATTTTGTCAGTTCCATCTACGGTCTTCATAGTATCGCTTGCATCAATTTCCAGAAGCGTATTAGTAACCAGAGTTATGGGTTATCGCCTGTTCCTGCACGCCTACGGACATTCATGAACACCATCAGCCCGGCGAATGATCCAAAACATACAACATCCGTTTTTCGCTGGTCACCACTGTAGTATTATCGAGATGGCGGGGAGATGCCCTTACTCGTAATAGAATCATTGATCGAGAGGAGTTGGTACCGCCCTACATCAAAAAAACGTCATTTGCCTTGGCTCGATGGGGTTGGTCTCAGCCTCCACGATAGCTGAGGTCTTTCCAGGAGGTAGTTGCGCCAGGTTGCCTCCCGCACATCTAACTGGATCCAATGCCTCGGAGATAGACTTGCCGTATCCCCATAGCGTCAATCAGCTCACAAGATGCGACCAAGCAAGGTTTGGCTGTCGGTGATTTTCATCAGCCATCGCCGAAAATAGTGGATACCTACACCGAGAATAGTGGGCCTCATCGCCGAAAACACGGATTCAAGGCATGTAAGGCAACATGAATCAAATGCAAGTCCTGAAGCTCTGGGATACGCATATAAAAACTGCAAGACTTTCTACTGAGAAAGAATCTTCTATTGCAGTATCATAAGCATCTACACATCATTCCACTACTCTATCATTCAGCTACTCCATCTCACCAATTCATCATCTTCAAAATGGGTCTCCACGGTCGCTACACCACTGAGAAGGTTACCTACCCGTCTCATGGGGAAACTATCACTGGTATCCTCTACAAGCCCAAGGACATCAACAACCTCCCTGGCATTGTGGTTCTAGGTCCCTATTCGTTTGTCAAAGAGCAAGCTCCATTGCAGTATGCCACGCGACTGGCTGATGAAGGCTACGCGGCCTTGATATTCGACCCACGCACTGTCGGTGAGAGCACCGGCCAGCCACGTCGATTGGAAAACCCTGTGATGAAAAATGAAGACGTGGTCTCCGGTCTCGATTACCTGGCCAGCAGGGGCGACGTGGATGCCAAGAGACTATTCCTCGTAGGCGTCTGTCAGGGAGGCCCCGAGTGTCTTGATGTGGCGTCCTACGACGACCGCGTTGTTGCTGTTGCTTCCGTGACAGGATACTACCGCGACCGCGAAACGGATATTTGGATGATCTGCTCGGGCTGTGTCAATGTCGAGCCTGGTGTTGACGTAGGATCTTTGAAGATGCCTACACCCGAGCAAGGAGAAGCCCTCTATCAGGCGCGCATCCAGCGAGCCAGAGACGCTAAGGCCCTATATGAAAAGACAGGGGAAGTCATCTACCAACCTCTTGTCGACCCCAAAGCTGCAGACCCGGATGTTGGCTCCCTTGCCGGGCTTCCAGGACCAGTCACATGGTCGTGGTACGGCCCCTGGACGATGAAGGGTTTCGAGAACCGGTATGCGGTCATGAGCGATTTGGACCATTTCGGCTATTCCACAGTCGCTGGTGTGGCCAAGCTCAATAAGCCGGCTTTGGTGATTCATGGCGATAATTGCATGAATGCCGCTGCAGCAAAAAGGCATTATGAGTCGATCCCGACAAAGGAGAAGAAGCTTATCTGGGACAATGAAATCTCGCATTTCCAGCATTACGAGCAGCCGGATGTTGTAGATAGGAACGTTGGTGAGATCGCGGCTTGGTTTGGACAGGCAAAGGTGTAAATCAAAGACAGTTTACACTTTCCAATAGAACCAACTCATCTCAATTTTGGTAACTACTGCCGATGACACAGGTGAATCCTCGATGTCGGTGTTGAATAGCGCCTCATTTTATATTCCACTCCGAAGCATCTAAGCAATGACTGTGTGGCTATCGCTGGCACCGTATTGGCATTGGCATTCTCCGTTGACCCTGGGTGAGGCTTTAAGGTGCTTAACGTGTATCATCCGCGCATAATCATGATCACAAAACAGACCGAGATCCTACGAATAATGAAATCAAGTCGCAACTCGGAAAGGTTCGAAAGTGAGGAACGGATCATGCCTGAAAGATATCTCAAACAAGGTGTAAGCCCTTAGCTGTGATAATACGTAGGGACATCTAAGGTACTTTGTTCATGGGCAATAGCAATTAGCTACGTGAGACCTTTGCCCAGATTCAAACAGAAGGTAGAAACTAGAGCAGGAATGATGCCGAAGTGGTCAATGATGTATGGTTTCATTGGTTAAGTCCGATACTCAGAATCAAAGACAAGCCGATCACTCAATGTCAAGGTCCTTCTATCCGGGCATAGCTGCCGACATGCTATCCAAGCTGCTCGCCGACTAATACCGGAAGGGAGAGCTGGCTGCAAGTTTGCCCGAGTGGCCTGTGCATGTGCGATTATGTAAACAGAGATTGGTGGTCATTCAAATCCCCTCAGCGCGAGCAACGCGTCGATCAACCCCTCAACTCTCTTCATACTTATGCCGGGCTAGGCTTTTCATGATGTCTACTTGGCGACCTAAGATTTCCAGCGCCCACCCATCGCACAGGCAGAAGCGTCTGGTAATTTCATGTTCGGAATGCCACAGACGCAAACAGAAAGTGAGCTTTCGTGTTAGCAGATGGCTTACCTTGATCTAATTGGGACCAGTGCGATCGACAGCACCCGTGTTTTCACTGCTCTCGACGAGGCAAACCTGTATGAGCCTTCCCCCCCCCCCCCCTCAAGAGTATATCGAACTACACTAAGAAAATACAGGGACTTTGCCTATATGAGTATACTGAGCAAACACACATGGGTGCTGACAGATTGGCAAATTCAATCTAGCACAGCCCGAGATCTGCCACCAAGCCCATTTCAGTCGTCGTCCGACAACACGCCTAGTGAAGAGGAAACTTCCGTCACTGCTCAGGAGCTATCAAGAAGACTGGGTTACTCTAACAATGTCAAAGGGACCCTTGATATTGTTTCCCAACTCGGGGCATTGGGCCATGACTCAGCCTCTCGTGGTGGGGGGCTACGGAACCATGATGCGGCAGTTCACTACGTGAATCTCATAAGGAAAATACCACAAAGGGAACATGTCAACATCCTTGTGCAGTCTTTCTTCACAAACGTTGCATGGCAGTATGATGTCATCGATTATTCTACCTTCCGGGACCAGCTCTCAAGCTGGAGTCACATCTCCTCCACAACGTTGAATATGGGCCCCGAGAACTTGTCTATCAGCATCCGAGCTTTCCCTGCGTTACTCCTTCAGGTTCTTGCACTCGCATTACAATTCCATCCTGATGGAAACGACGAAGCACTGCAGGGTCTTAAATACGCACCCGATATCGATTTTGCCGACTTGGCCGCGGATTATAGCAACGTGGGCCACCAAATCATGTACATGCTTGGAAGCAAAGACACCTCTCTGAACAAGATTCAAGCTGGACTGATGGAGGCATTTTTCGAGAAGAGCATAGGATCAGTCATTGAAGCCTGGCATACACTTGGAAGAACGATTCGAGACGCACAGGAACTTGGCTTGCACAGACATAGGGTTTGGGAGACAAGTCTACCCGCCGAAAATGTCATGCAGGCGCCAATGTTCTCACTGGAGAGAAAATTGTGGTTTGTGTTGCATCTCTGGGACGCGCACATGGCTATCGTCCTCGGCAGGCCGATGACGACCAGACTAGACTCAAGCTGCGTGCCTTCGACTAGCCTAACAGCAGCATCACCCCCAATGAGCTTGGAAGACGTAGCGATAATCCCATTCGAGTTCATGGTATGCGGCTATCATACTGCTTACAAGTATCTGCAGGATATCCATGACCTGGAAATTAAGAATAAGGATGCGCAGGAGGCCGTTCAGAAAATACACAACGCCGTAATAAGCAACATTTCCAGACTTCCGGCATGGGCAACCGTCGCAAGTCCGGTACTCGACAGCAGATACCCTTGGCTTCCTGCTGCTCGCGAGACGCTCATTAGCGAGGTCTATTTTGTTTTGCTCGCACTGCACCGCCCTTTCGTATCCAGCCTGTCCTCAAGTCGAGTAGAGGCCCACATGGCTGCGCTGAAGATGCTTGCGTCGCAAAATAGGCTGTTTGAGCACGCAGGGGCTCTACTTTATAGGGGCTTCGCTCTTGTCTTCTCTACATTCGATGCTATGGTTCTGGTGGCAGCAACCTACATTCGAGCCCCGGATGATGCTCAACATCTTCTTGCAGAATCGGTGAGCCGCTTGGAGTGGGGTTTGGCAAGGCTAGATGCGATGAGGTCGCGGAACGCCATGGCAGGCTACGCTTATGACGTGGTACGAGTGCTCTTCCGGAAAATGCTAAGCCAATCCTCCTCCCCACGCTCTGCGCCTCTAAGAGATGATGAGCCGGAAAGCCAATTCATGGCTGAGGGGGCACTGTCCAGAAATCACGCTGCACGGGCCGGCCCAGTCGTTGAGCTGGATTCAAATGACGCATCATTGCAACAGTCGCTGTACGACATCGTCGCTCAGGACATGCTTGGCGAGACCTTCCCTGTCGAGTGGCAAGAGATGACCATTCCTGAAGCTGGGAACTACGAGGAGGCATTTCCTGACAGCATTTGGCAATTCCTGGACGACCTCACGTAGGGGACGCAACTCTTGAGTGCAAATTGACCTTTGAGTCACTGAAAATTAGATAGCTGGCGAGCTTGGCTCGATATTCCAGAGCCTTGGTTTGAAACAACAGCATAGCCAAAGTCAGCAAAGGAACTGAGACATTGGAATCATGAGCCTACAGTGAACGACGATCTGCTGGAAAGAGAGTCATCGACATATGGGGTAATTCTATGTGGGTATAAAGACAGCACAAGCAAGTCGTATCAGCAGTCTAAAGGATAGTTCTGTAGTGTATAAATACAAAAGAGAAAATATGGTTATGTACCAAGATACGAAGATACTGTTCTGAATGCAGGGTATTGATACAGGATATTGATATGGTTGCCAATTAGTTACAACGAATAGTAGAATAGGATTAAAGGTCCAAGATCATGTCCATATTTGCGGCTCTGTATGTGCTGTCGTTAACGCGAAATGTTTTGCATTGTCCTGGGGAAATCAATCTCCAGACTTCCAAGCTAGAACAGACTCTTAGGCCGGAAGCTTGAAGCCGGTCTTGCGGAGGTTCTGGAAGACGTGCTCGGGATCGTACTCCTCTGAGACGGACTTGAGGAAATCGATGGTCTCCTCGCCGTGGGTCGAAAGCGGGTCTTGGTCCTTCCATGCGTAGTTAAGGTACTTCCATTCCTTGTATGCCTCGATCTCCTTGGCGTACTCGTCGATGGCGGCACGGAACTCGAGGGCAAAAGGAAGAATCAACTTCTGGTTTGCAGGGGTATCAACGGTCAAGGCAATGAGCCACATGATAGTAGGACCATCGGCAACAACGCTCTCCAGGCCGAGCGAGTTTCCGCCGTTATCAAGGCCGTGCTTGACGATGGATTGGGTGACAGGCTGGAACTGGACAAGGACGTTGAAGTCGGACTCGGGCGCGACTTCCTTCATCTTGGCCGAGTATTCCTTCAGCTTGGTATCGATGAAGTCCATGATACGGAAGTCATTGGTGGTCTGGCCGACCATCCAGTTTGCGCTACGACATAGTGTCAGCATTACCTCATGGGTCTTGCTACGAAGAAGAACTTACTACAGGCCCAGAGGAGTGGGGCCAGTGAACTCAGGAACGAGCTCGGCAACAGTACCAACGCGGACGGTGCTGGAGATGTTGGGGATCGCATAGTACTCGTCAAAAGCAGGCGCGTCCATGTTGGCCTGGACGTTGGTCAGGATAGACCTCAAACTGAAGCCGGTCTTATCGTAGTACAGTGCAACAATGTTCTGGCTATAGGGGTCGTTTTCCATGTTGTTGGCAAAGTTGAGGTAGGCGTTGAAGACATTGTCTCTCTCTGTGAGGTTGTAGCTCACGAAGCCACCTGACATCTGTGTAGAGTCGACAGTGCCTGCAGGAGATGTGTTAGTGGATATTGTCATGTAACGGCATGAACAACTTACGAGCATCGATTCTAGTGACGAAGCCAAAGTTTCCTGAACCTCCCTTCAGGGCCTTCCAGAGATCTGCGTTCTCGTTCGCGTTGGCGTTCACAACGGAACCATCCCCAAGCACAACCTCGAAGTTGGTGACCGAGTCGCAAGCAAAGCCATGAGAGTTGGTGTGGAAGGAGTACTAATATCGCGAGCATCAGTAAACGTTTGAGACAGTCAAGATAACGATATTCTATGAGGCGACAACTTGGGTTCACTTACGCCACCACCCGTTATGAAACCACCAACACCAACAACTGACGCTCTGCCACCAACAGCAGCAACACCATAGGGGTCAAGGGTAGAGAAGACCCTTTCCCAGTCTGAGCCGGGCTGGATCGAAGCAATCTTTGTTCCTTCATCGTATGTCGTGGTGTTCATGTAACCTGGAAGAAAGCGTTCGTCAACAAATGATATGTCCCATATTGTAGATTGTCAGTTTAAGTGCTTACCAAAGTCGATGGTGACACCCTTCTTGACACCATTAGATCCCGTGAAGGCTGAGTGGGCACCACTCCGGATGCCAAAGGGACATTGGTTCCTGTTCAAGATCTTTGCAATTTTTGTCACGTCTGAGGTGCTCTCAGGCAACACCATACACCACGGGGCTTGAGCAGCATTGGCAGAGTAGTATGTCTCTAACCGCGCATCGTAGAATGAGTTGTCCTTGGAGTAGACCTTGCCTTGAAGGTCTTGATCTTGGGCAAGGGCAGAGCACTGTATGTGACCAAAGTTAGAAATGATCGCCCGTAGGAGTGGATGAGAGGGGATATGGGATGGTAACGTACACAGACGCAGTGAGGACTGCGACCCCTTGCTGAGACAGTCGAGGCAGCCAAGGCCAAGATCGACAAACCCGTTGAGAACCTCATGATTACCAGAGTTTGGTTGGCTCTGCGTGTGTGTGTGTCTGCGCACGAGCTCCCGTGGTCGTTGCGTGGGGGTGATCTGATGGGAGGATCGGGGTTGTTGACTGGACGGCAGCAAGACCAGGTGAGAGGATGAAAAGGACTAGAAACTCTCGAGGTGTTCTAGCGAATATCTATTGTCGTTGCATTCAGAATGAGCGATCAAATCTCCAGTGCCTTCTGAGTCCGCAGTTTTAAGTTCAGACCGACCTCGCCTCCACCGCGAGCTAGTGTCCTCGTTGGAAGCCCAGCATGAGTCGATGTAATTTGATCTAATGCAACTAGCGGGCATTTCCAATCCCGCAAGCCGCATTTCAGGCAGGGACCGATGAATACCCGCACGAATCCGGTAGGTCAAGTGGGAAGTTGGAAAAAAGAGGAGTAATCTCCAGCTTGTTAATGGGGCGAAAGGATCATGTTTGCTGCCTTCTCGGAGCTTCAGTTCTCGTTTGGGTTGTGTATTGCTTCTGCAATCGATCTGCGTCCCATGGAGTCATGGCAAGATGTGTTGGAACCAGGTTACATTAGCCGCAGAGACGCAATCAGGCGGAAGGTCTAGAGCCAACAACTTCATTCTCGTGGTATTTTTGTCACGAATGTATCTTGGGGGCACAGAGCTGACCTGGCAAAGCGTTATCCCGCCCCCATTTCTACGACATGTCCAACATGCAGTGCGACGTTCTGCGGGATGATTTCCTCGAGGTTTCGGAACCAAGAGCTGCTAGGCAATAACTGCTGACAAAATTCAGACGTTCCGACTTGGCAGTATGGGATTCCTTGTCTCGGAGAACAGGGAATAAGGCTGTAAGCAATACAACGCCCGTGAACTTGGCTCGATCCCATCTCGTGCCCGCCTCCCCGATGCATACTAAGTCGATTGGCACCAACACTCGCTTCCCGCTATCGACACCACAAAACCACTTTTATCGAAGCAAACAATGACATGCTGCTCTGCCACTCTGCCGCGAGATGTCTTAATGTTTTCGAGGAATCCCCGCAGACATTGTTTGCTTCGCCAAGAGCCAGAGTTACATCCTGTGGGCCTCGGTTCCTGAACGACCTCAAAAATGTTGTTGGTCCATGAGGGATAATCCTCTGCGGCGATATCAGGCCCGACAAGCTCATCTCCGAATCTTTGAACAGCCGCCTCCTTATTCTTCTTTTTCCAAATTGTGGAAGGCGAGTCATGCTGGCGAAGCTTGGGCAGATTTACTTGCCCTATCCATGGCAAACGCGGGAACCGTTGGCGGTTTTTATAGGCCAGAAAAGGGCGTGCAAAGTATATTATAACGATCGTCTACGAGGAAGCAGAAGGTCTGCTCTACGACTCCCCATTTCAGAGGAGGAGGGAATGTCGCCCGTACTATGGAAGTCCTTCTAATCCATTCCGCTGTTGCATGGATACGCCTCCAGGATTCTAGATCCGTACGTGTATCAGCAAGGAGTGGATTCTTCCTGTGCCGCACCTTGGGTTCCATTCAATTACGTGCGTTGGGGTCGTTGTCTTGTTCTATCAGCTTTGACCAAGATCTGACGGAACGGGCGGAGGATCTGAAGGCTCGGCCGTGGACTACTCTGTAAATCTCTCGAGTCTTTACCACCCCTGATCCCAAGCAAAATGATGGGGGGCTGCGAGAGCGAGGGTAACTAGTACTTGGGACCCAATGGGCATGACGTTCCTCTATCTTGGAGATTGGGGCCATCGGTCCTTTTGTCAGGGCTGTCCCGACCCTTTGTCGACCCCAGTTTCGGCGGCCCGTTTTATGACTGGTCATTCTCCTCTTCTGCACCATTCCAACTACCGGGGCTGGACCAGGAACCCCAGTCTATAGAGACAACTTCCAACACTCTCCAACAACGGAACCTTATTATGAGTTCGGACCAGACTTCTCAATCGGGGCGTGGATCACCAGCAAACACTGTGCCTCTTATTAATGTTGGAAGGGCAGCGATCCCACGAATAAGAAGCTACTCGGCGTGCAACACCCAGGTCAAGATCTCGAGCAGTGAGTACGACGAGTATAATTTTAACAGGAAAGCGAGTGCACTACAAAAAAGAAAGCCTATCCTGGTGCTGAAGCATGGACCTCATAAGTATACGACCGTTGAGATGGATACCAATTACATGAGTCGCGCCAGATCACACTTGTCGAGACTCCAGCAGGTCTCAAAGGGACCTTGAGTGATCCATGCTCCCTCCTCGGCATCGTCCAGAGTTCATCCCGTCGAAAAGAGAAAATGTGGGAGAAAGTGCTTGAAGCATGCAATTTCGTCGAAGGGGGAGGCCCGGATTTTCTACGTTCAACCCTGGTCCTTTACACCCTCGGTACACCCGAATGTGGCCACGGAGGATGGCGAGTGAATTCCGTCAGAACTCAGTACGATAACATGTATATACGCTAGATCGGATGCTGCTCTTTTTCCAATAGATCCAAGATTTCGGTTGCTTGCGAATCTGAACCATTCTATTGGCATCATGTCAGAAGTCTCTGTGATCCCAGCCCCGCCGGGCGTCACGGTCGATTTTGACCACCCGAGGCAGCAAAAGGTGCTGGAGCATTACCTGCTCTTTGGTGTTGGTGGTACAATTGCCTTCATCGCCCTGTGCCAGAGATTTTACACCAAATTGTTCCTTTCCAAAGGGCTGCAAGTTGACGATGGTGAGTTTATTTACCTTGGTTGATCGACCGAGCATTTCGCCAAATACTGACTATTGAAAGCTTTCATGTTTCTGGGATGGGTAAGTTCGACTCGACGATCCACTGATCGCTGTTCAGCTCCTTGGCTACCAGATCATTGCCTAACCTTCCTTCACTCAGGGTGCCTCAGTAGTCACTCAAGCAATGCTTGTTGGTATGTCTAACCCATCTTGCATGCTGCAGATCACTTGAAGCTGACCAGAGTACTGCAGCTTCTATTGCTGAAGGTGGCATGTGCGCCCATGCTTGGGAGATGCCAATGTCAAGATTCGTGCGCTATTCTATCGTGAGTCTATCGCAAAAGTCCTCAATTGCCATATGATGCTGACATGGTAAAGACGACCTACGTGACAGCGCCTGTCTTCATGCTGTGCAATGGATTTACCAAATTGTCTCTTTTGACATTTTACCTTCACCTTTCGCCCCAGAAGTGGTTTAGAGTGGCAGTATGGACGGGTATTGCCGTGGTCTCGCTGTATACAGCATGCATCACTATCCTGATGCTGTTCCACTGCAATCCCGTCAGGAAAGCTTTCGACTTCACCATCACCGGCGGAAAGTGCCTCGACGTTGGCATTCTTTACATGGCTACGGCTGTCTCTAACATCATCACCGATGTCATGCTATTCATTCTTCCAATGCCCATGATCTTCAGCCTCCGCATGAAGATGGCATCGAAGATTGGCGCCGTTATCATTTTTGCCATTGGATCGATGTAGGTTACACTATCTTTCAAAGCTCAAGTATCTCCCACTGACTTCATGGGAAGGACCGTGGCTACTTCCATCGTTAGATTGACCTACCTACCCCCACTGCTCGTCAGCGTCGATCCGTCATGGGATGCTGCCCCTGCGAATATCTGGACGTAAGTGCTCTTGTAAACTTCTCCCTTTGTCTCTTCATTGTCCTAACCCCTGCTTCGAACAGTTTCGTTGAAGCCAACCTCTTTGTGATTTGCGGTTCGATGCCCACCCTGCGAAAGTTCTTCAAGCATTTCGCGCCAAAGCTTATGGGCTCCTCGACGAATCCATCATCTTACGCAGTCGGCGGTTATCGAATGTCGTACGCGCATCAAAGATCAACGAATGCCATGAAAAGCCGTCAAAGAAAACAATACGAACAGTTTCCGGACGAGAACGAAATGCATACTTTCCACTCCGATCGGAAGAGGACGAACGAAGAAGACCCCGGCTTCTCGTCCGTAGTAGTCGCCGGCGGGAGGGAGAGCGCCGACGACATGAGCGACAAGGCGATTCTACAGACCAAAACTGTCACGATACAGCGCGATTGAGGAGCACATATTCGTAATGTCTAATGATTTGGGCCGGGGTTTGAGGACACAAAATTCGCATCAGACTGGAGTACTGGAGTTTGGGTGGGGATGGACTGGGAAACTTTTTTTTGGACGATTTTGGACGTCAAAAGTTCGAAACTTCAAGCACATAGTGTAAAAGATAATGCATCAAAGTATTGTTTGATCGCTACCACTTGCTCTAGTTGTGAACCCAACTCAAGAGTACATCTCTCACTAGAGGTTCTTCCTCGTCTAGCGGAGCGGATTTGAGCTGCAACAGAGTCAAAGTGCCAGTCAGTTCTGTTCGGACGTAACTGCCGTGTGAAGTTCCCTCTTGATTTCATCCAGTTTCTTTCGCCCTCGATTAGGGGTCTGGGTTCAGAATTTGTGAGTCGATCGTACGACGGCTCTGCAAATCGCCTGCACGAGCCTTGCCGCCCTGCTCCCGAAGATTGAAATGCCCGTACAAGCATTTTTGGTATCTCGTACGCCGGAAGTAGCGGACGGCAAGTATTTTCCCGTCAGCAATCAGGTGGGATAGGGGTTGATAAAGTACTCACTTTCTAGGTCATTCCGGCTAAAGCCGAGAGAATTCAGGGTACTACTCTTCCAGACACCCTCTTAGAGTTTGATGAACACCTCAAAACTCTAACAGTAAAAATGGGACTTCTATCAACTTGGGTTCTGACTAGAATACAGCGGCTATTTTCGCGGGCGTTGTTGGCATGGAGCCCCTTGTCTGTGGACTACGGTGGTGATGGCTCGGAATCAACCGAGCAAATCTCTTGGCGAGTCGTGACCCCCTTTCCCCGTTGTTGGCTTCGATTTGGGGAGGGCCGAAGGCGGGTCTAAGCCGAGGAGTCTGTTCAAGGGTTCTAGTGTGGCACCAGCATATTACCTAAGGCTTCCCCACCCACATTTCCTCAGCCAAGTCCATTCCGAGGTAGTAGCAAAAGTAACGTGACTGACTGGACTAATTTCAGACGACCCTGCTCTACCCGTCTATGGCAAGTTCTTTGGAGGTAAGGTAGGTATGGTGTCTGTCACTATGCAAATATCTATCATTCATGCTCAGACTATTCAATAAAGGCTTTCAGTCTATTCGATAAAGGCTTTCAGGCGATAAGTTTGGATACAAGCGATAAGAGAAATGTATTGACCAGGCTTTAGAAGGTTTCCCACGCAGCGATAATTTGGATCGCTGAACATTCGACATTCAAGTTTCACAGTCGAATACCAAGATGTAACTGATTGTCAGTCTCTGCAGGCTCGTCTGATCAATTACCACAACCTACGACTCGGCCTATTCAGTTCGTTGTTTCCCGGAGTCCGCCGTGCGGCACAATCGCTATCGGCATATTGTACTCTCAATGACCACTGAACAAGCCCGAAAGATAGCTGCTTGGAAATCAGAAGTCATTAGGGAGGCATGGGTCTGCACAATATCTTCGTGAAGGGGGCTTACAAATCTATGAGCGTGTAGCCGGTCAGTCACGGACACCAATACGCAGGTTCCTCCGAGTGTTTGCACCTCCACAATCGAATCACGACTCCAGTGAGCTGCTTCATCTCTGAAAAGGCTTCGATCGCGATACTAGGCAACCAGCACCGCTGTGAATTACCAAGCCCCATCAGAGGTCAGAGGCCCTGAGGATACAACCCGGACACAATCACAGATGATTATGAAGCAGAATGACGTTTTAGGACTTGCGATGAGTGCCTAGACTTAAGTAGAATTGTGCCATCAACCGGATCATATCTGTCATGGCTTCTCTCCGGTTGTGAGATAAAAGGCAGCAAATCGCCATGTTTCGAGCACCGCTTCTCATTGTTAAACAACAATCCATCCTTCACAGTTCCCTATCCTATAATCGAAGATTCTTCGATCCTTTCTTCAACTGGAGTTTTGTCGAATTCAAGCCTTCCCCCTTCGCAATGTCCATCAAACTTTGGGGTTCCGTGACATCTGCTTGTACCCACAGAGTGCTAATCACTCTCAATGAACTTGGGCTCAAATACGACTTGACTCAAATTAATCTCATGAAGGGAGAACAAAAGGTTCGTGGCTGTAGACCGCCAAATGTTTGTCTACGCATTCTCATGCATGAGACTCTGACACGCTGTTACAGAATCCCATCTACGTCAAGGAACGACACCCGTTTGGCCGCATTCCCGTCATTCAAGATGGAGATCTTCAACTCTTCGAATCCCGAGCTATTTGCCGCTATCTCGTCACCAAGTACGGCGGCCCCTCTAGCCCTCTTGATGCCGTCGCGAGCGGTGACCCAGTTAAGATTGCAAAGTTTGAGAAGGCTCTCAGTATTGACTACTCCTACTTTGACCCCTCCGTCAAGACATTGTGCAACGAGAAGCTGTGGAAGAAGTAAGACCAAACTGCTCGACTCTTGACCGAGATTCTATACTGACAACGCAACCTACCCAAGCCCGGCTGAGCCCGCCAACCCTCTTGAGGAAGACAAGGCAACTACAATGTTCAAAATTGCACTTGACTATTACGAAGACTTCCTGGGCTCCAACGCTTACCTAGCTGGAAATGTGAGATCAACTGCACTTCTTGCTATTCGGTCTACATTGCCAGGTGGAAAGCCTCTTCTAACCGTCAAATAGGACTTCAGCCTTACTGACGTCCATGTCTTCACCTGGATGCCTTACATCAAGTTGCTCGGTTTGTACGAAGAAATTGCTGCGAGGCCAAAGGTTGAAGACTTGTGGAAGCGTGTGTCGAGCCGCTCAGCCTGGAAGTCTGCTCTGAAGGATATGCCGCAGTAGAAGACATGTCTTGAAGTGCCCGGGTAACTTCTGCAACAGTATCTGTCAGACATTGAGGTGATGGAAACTTCTGATATGAGATGCTCAAGACTTGCGGAATATCTGTGAGGGGAAGGCGGTCTTACCGGGCGGAATCGTCGAAGCGCCAAGCAACAATTCAGAGTCTCATGTCTGCTTATTGGACCAGTTTTACTGCCAACAAGCTAAACACCAGTGGCTGTCACAATGATATGCGATTTGGTTTCCTCTCACCCTGACTTTTTTGGTCTTCAGGAACATGAACTTGGACAATTTTCAGCACTCGGATAGAAGTCCGAGAGTTCTTGACTGACGCAGTGGTCAGATTGGCGGTGCCTCTTGACCCATTTTTGTTCATTCCTAACAAGGCAATCAGAAGCGTCGCAGCTGTCTCCAGCTTTAGGCTTGCGAAACACCACAAATACCGCCCCTCACAGAAGTCAAAGTGAATGAGAACCTCGAATCCGTTCAATCATTTGAGCTTTGCTGTTGCTGATATTGTCTCACAATGAATTGTCTTGCAAGAGCCTCCTTGCTCTTTTTCTGCATCTTACCATCCCTCGCGTTACAATGCACGCCCTCAACCCCTGAAAAGCCCCGTGTATTCCTCCTGAGCGACATCGCCAACGAGCCCGATGATGCACAATCGCTCGTGCGACTTCTGGTCTACGCGAACGAGCTCCAAATTGAAGGTTTGGTGGCGACGACGAGCGTCTGGCTGAATGACACCACACGCCCAGACCAAATCCATGATATTGTCGACGCGTACGGTGAAGCACTGCCAAACCTAAAGAAACATGCCCCCGGCTGGCCTGAAGCATCCTATCTCAAAGGTCTGATTGCCTCCGGCTTGCCGGTCTACGGCATGGACGGCGTCGGCGAAGGAAAGGACAGCGAGGGCTCCGAGAGGCTTGTAAAGGCAGTCGACGCCTCGGATGAGCCGCTCTGGATCCCGGTATGGGGAGGGGCGTCTGTTCTGGCGCAGGCGTTGTGGCACGTCAATGCGACGAGATCGCAATCCGAGATCGAAACCTTCGTCTCCAAACTTCGCGTCTACACGATTTCCGATCAGGATAATACCGGCTCGTGGATCCGTCGAAACTGGCCGCAACTCTTTTACATTGCCAGTGTCCATCACTTCAACCGGTACGCCGTTGCCGCGTGGGGCGGCATCTCGGGCGAGGAGTACTACAACTTTCCGAGCTTCTCGAACCAGGAGGATATATCGCCAGATTGGATCAGGCAGAATATCCAGAGTGTCGGGCCGTTGGGGGCGAAGTATCCTGACGCTGATTTCATCGTCGAGGGCGATACACCTTCGCTTCTCTACCTGATCCCCAACGGGCTCTCCGACCCCGAATATCCGGAATGGGGATCTTGGGGCGGCCGATATGGACCCGTCACCTACGGTGAGGGTCATTACGCGGATACGGTGGACGTCCTGAAGAGGGCTTCGGGAAGGACGATCATGAGTTCGCAGGCGACCGTGTGGAGATGGAGGGAGGCGTTTCAGAACGACTTTGCTGCCCGTATCAAGTGGTCCGCCAGTCCTGAATTCGGTGATGCTCAGCATGCCCCAGTCGTGGTGTTGAATGGAGACACGTCTCGCAAGGTTGTGAAGATGATTGTCAAGGAGGAGGACGTCATCGGGCTCGATGCGCGAGAGTCTTGCGACCCGGACGGAGGAGAGTTGACGTACAAGTGGTGGCAGTACTTGGAGCCATCATCAAACAACAACAATCCAGGACGAGACGTCGGCAGACTGGAGCTGAGCGATACCGACGCTCCCATCATCACAGTCACAATGCCTTCAGAGGAGGTCCTCCGTGCTCCAGGCAGAAATCGTCATCCGAATGACGACAAGCACATGCACCTCATCCTGGAGGTCTCTGACGGTACGCTGATCTCCTATCGCCGGGTAATTTTCACCATACTCGGACCTAAGACAGGGGATGAAAAGTCTTCAGCCGGAAAGGCGGCTGAGCAAGCCGTTCATGATGAGCTGTGAGCAGTCAATTGATTATGACGAGAATTACCCCGTGTGGCCCGTCTTCTCCCCAAGACTAGCCAGGTGGCAGGCAAGAATACATGGATCAACCATTTCCAACCCGATAAAAAACTCCATGCTTTTTGATGCAACCCATGATGTGCACAAAGAGAAAGAATGAAAGGCCTTCCGGCATGCAAGTTACAAAAGGAAAAACGTGAGAAACATGTTCCATATAAACCCAACACACATGCCCACCAGCGCTCGATACCCCACGGGCACGAGTGCGAAATTGAGCATAGCCACCAGAGGCCAAAACTTCCACGCGGCCTTGATCAGGTCGAATATCCTCTCGCTCCAGATCTGGTAGACGATCGGAGAGAATCCAAAGCGTAGGGCCGACGTGATGAGAAGAAAGGCCGAGTTCATCATGAACAGACCGACGGTCTGGTCGACGAGGACCTTACGGGCGACATTGAAGTAGTTCTTGGGCGCCGGCCTCTCGGGTTTCTCGGGCTTCTCGATCTTGGGCTCAACGATGGACGCCTTCCTTCCCCTGCCGCGGGCCGACGACGCCGAGTTGGGAAACTGGTCTTCGAGAAAGTGCTGCCACCAGTAGTTGATGTGGCCCTGTATGAAGCCAAAGGTCGCGAACTCGAGGACGCGACGGACGTCGAGCGGGGCCCCGGCGCTGCCGCCGGCCTGCCTGTGCTGGTTGACGATTTGCGCCGTGAAGTTTGCGGTGCCCTTGAGTAACGAAGACTGGATCGCCGTGGCGAGGAGGGAGGGCATTATGAGCGTCTCTGAGTGTTCAAATATCCTTCCTCGCTCGAAGTACAGATACGTTGGTCGTCTTTGAAGTCTATTGGTAGGGAGAGCGGCAAGGCGTTAGGGATGGCGCATTGAGGCTGAAATCTCACATGTGAGCTGGAGGCTTAGCTTGCGGTTGAGTTGGGGGCCTAGCTGGGTGTTTGAAGTTGCGGTGTGTCCCATTTAATTGGGACCACGTTGTACATTCCAGAGGGGGAAGTTGGAGCACAGAGCCCGTTGTGCTCGGTCGGCCAATGTCAGCGCCGAGATCGTGCCCAATCTCGGTACGCCCTGCCGCTCCACAGATGAAACAGGAAAGAATAACCACTCCGGCCGAAGGAATGCAAAGAGATGGTTGTTGTTTGAACTACAATGTTGGACAACGTACAAGTTGCATTGGGTAATTCGATTCTCTTCCTTCGACTGAGCACTCCGGGTGAGAACTTGAGGCGCTGTTTTTTAAGCTGACCAAGTTCAGTGCCAAAAGCATTGACCAGCAACTAGCAAAGTCACTATTCGCGAACTTGATGATTCAATCGACAAATGGTAAGAGGCAGCAGCTTGGTATTTGAGCATAGTCATGTTGACAAACGCTTCAGTGAGGGCCTAGTCAAGAATCATAGAGTCAACTCCTAGATTTACAAGTCATGCTCAGTGGGTTCAATCAACCCCGATAGCGCTCAAGCAGATTTACACAAGGACTTGCCTTTCGTGTCGGAAGCTACGGGGGAGAGCGGAGTACCATTGTCACGACTTTGACCACCGCTGTCAAGACTCCCCTAGAAGATGGTTAGTAAGAGCGAGGAAGAGAGACACAAATAGCAAAAAAGCCGCCCATATATGTGTCACACGGGAAGTATACGTCTAGTCAGAAGCCGACTTCAGCTTTTTATCCTTTTGGTCCCAGTAGAGGTTGACCTCTGCAAGCTGCCACTCTGCGTCACACTTATCGACAAAAACGCACTTCGCTCTGCCATCTTGACGTTGGCAACATATTTTGGATACCCTTGGGATTTGAAGGTGACTTCGCAATGATAGAGAAGCTTGCATGATGATCAACTGCTTGTGTGAGTCAGAAACCAGAAATAGAAAGTCATCTCAATTTCGAGACTGAGAATCATGGTCCACACAACAAAACAACATTCCATTCAGCCAACATTCTTAGACTGAGTATTGATACGGCTAGGGTTACTAAGCTCATCATATATCTGGATCTAGCAAGGCTCGTGCAGTTGTTCAATGAGCAAACGGGCCTGTATAGACTCAAAGTCGCTGCCGCGGGAGATGACATCCGGTGCGGGTAATCATCGACAGTCCGCGTAGTCCTATTATCCCATAAACTATCGCAACAATGCACAAATCCCTGAATTTTATCGGCTTCGTACAGAAGGTTCCTGGCTTATAACGTAGCAGATAGATTGGCCGTCCGGCAAACATGAATAGACAGCCATTCCTGGCTTTGAGAGAAAGGGCAGAGGATAGGAAGAAGCGTATTCTTACTACGTTCGTTTGCATAAATGCTGAATATGCCGACATTCAAGTGAATGGACCATTGGTTTATTCAAGAGTCGTCCCTGCTGTCTCCAGTATTGACCTGTAGCAACTGAAGGTATGAAGTATACTCGCGCCATAGATTATGAATAGCGATTCACATCCATCTGTAGCGAACAAAGACTGATGATCGTAGAGAAAACGAAATTGAAATCCAGGCCGGCGGTTCCCATCGAGCTGTCTTTTAGCCTGATAGTGGGCTGAGAAAATCTCTGAGGTGAATGTGAAGGGCTCCATGCTCTTAATTGCTAGTCCAAGAGTCAGCTCCTGCAACTGGAGTGAATGGATGAAATAGGAATATTTCATTGCGAACAAGGCGGAAGTCTTACACCGCGTGCAATCAAAGATCGCTACCCACATCCACACTTCTCCGATAGTTATAGTGGTGAGGAGGATATCTGCGTGTTATGTAGGTATCATTCTGCGACTCACACTGACGGCAGATAGTCCGAGAACTAGACCATAAACCTCATTTTAGCGCCCATCATCAAGACTCCCTTTTTCAATACTGTCGATTTTCATACCATGGCCGTACACACAACATTGCTGTAAAAGGTGCTATTTCCGTCCTTCCGGCATCCTTTCTGGTATCCTCAAGTCGGACAAAAAGAGAATAGGGGGGGGGGGTGGGGGG